ACTATCTTCTGACTGGTTTTAGTATATTAGAGTGTAGAGTTTCCTTGAGAGGAAGCAGAAGTTACTAATATGCATCTACCAACATGGAAAACACACATGTATGCTCAGGACAGATATATGTTGGTTTTTCTTCTCAATTAACTTCCTACTGTAAGACCATCAGTAACTTCTCCCTGAAAGCTTCTTGGGGATTGCTAGCTGGAGCTGGTTGGTAGCTTCTGTGCTTTGTTTTAGGCTGTCATGTCCCATGTGCTGGTAACTAATTCCCATGAAGAAGTGAATATTGAGGTCTTTATAATAAAGCTAATGGTCATAATGTACCATTCATAACACTGAATGGTTTACCTAAGTGGCTAGGTAGGGACAGTATTTCTTACAGATAAACAGGCTTAAAAGTAATAAAACCTACTAGTAGGCCAAAGATGCATGAATTAAAAATGATTTTTGGTCTGTGTGTTTGTAGGAAAAAGCTTAAAGTATTGAAACAAGACTAGTATTCCTTTTGCACAGTGACTTGCAGTGAATTAACTAGTTGTTTTTTTGTTTTTTTTTTTTTTTTTTGCTAAGCAGTTCCTCTGTGGTGCTCTTCCTGCACACAGTAGAAAAAGCTTCATTGTTTTGTGTTCTGAACAACAAGAAACCATGTCTGGAAGAGATACAACTGCCTGATTTCACACCCATACAAAGCAAATGTTGGTGTCATAGGAACTTGCCAGCTGTTTGTTGATACTAACTCCTTTGATCAGCACATGATATACTGTCCTCAGTCATCTGTGGCAAAAGCAGCACATTGCCTGTGTTGGAATATATGATTGTTGAAGAAAAGTACATTAAAATAATTTCCTGCAAGCAAATGCTGAAATGAATGGGACTTGGAACCTAACTATATGAAAGGGCTGTATTGTGCTTATCTTCTTCCTTGCAAGCACGCCCAGTAACTTGCTGTGATGGATAGGGAATTAAAAGTCATCGTTTCTGCTTTCTTCATTTTTAGTGACTTCAGTCCCCAACAGCACAGCCATGTAGTTAATTGAAGTGTATTGAAGGAAATTGCTTGCAGGATCTTCCATGGAGACTTAGGGAAAAATCTTCAAAACCAGACCTGTAGCCAATAGAGAAGGAATTTATATGCATGATTCCCCACACGCCCTCCCTGCCATCAGCCACCTACTTTTTGCTGCAAGACAACTTTAAGGGAGGGGAAAAGAAATCCAAAGGTATCAGTGGTTATACCACCAGGTATAGTAAATGCTGGGGTAGGGAACGCGTGGTGGTGCACTAAGGAAAGCGAGGGCTGGATTTTGGTTGGAAGGGACCACAGTAGGTGATCTGGTCCTTATCAAGAATAGTTAGGTAAAAGAATTAGTAACAACTTCTAGAGAAGAACAGTATTAACTGTTTTAATGACTCATTCTTGAAAACTTGGAGGTGGAAGATAACAAGTCTCAATAAACTCTGTGTTTCCCTACTTCCCTTAATTTTTTTTCTTTTTTTTTCTGTTCATATAACTGCTTACAGTTCAAGTCTGCCTTGGAGATGTTTTCTTTCTAGTTATTTCTTCTGAAAGTGCAAGCATTGAAGCAGTTCAGATTTGTGCAGTGAAGGGCTAGGAAATTACTCTCACAGGAGGTAGAGGCTGTTTTGTGTAGCAGGATGAGAGCCATTTTTTATTTCAGAAAGGTAGAAAACCTCAATATTCCTAACCAGGTAGAATATCCATATTAGGCATTTTCTCCCTGCCATCAGCTTCTTCTAAGCTAGTTGTAATGTGCTGCAAGGACTGTGCCTTCAAAGCAGGGAGTGGAGATTTCAAGTTCCTTTGATTTTTCTCCTTCCTTTGCATTAAATGTTTGAAAGTGTCACTGGAGGAATTACTTTGAAAGGGAGGTACCCTCATGATGTAATTTAATATGAAGCTCAGTTGTGATGCTGAAACTCTAAAGCCTCATCAAAGGGAGTCTTAGAAGTCTAAGACCAGTCCTGGGTGGGAGCAAGAGAATCTCTTTTCCCCTCTATACAGTTGATTTCTACTTGTAATGGTATGACTGCTGTACAAAGAGGATGAAACTTCCTCCGATCATCTGTACTGTGAAGGAGGGAAGAAAAGTGTGTATGAGTGACCTTGTGTGGCTGAGCCTCCACAGCAAGCTGCTGAGTAATAGACGTCTGTGGACGTAACTGGTAGCACAAACTGACACTACTAATTTTTGCTTGAGATCCACGAAGAGAAAAGAGGCTAGGAAGAAGGGGAAAGAAAGAGTAAGGAAGATGAGGGGAATAAACATGTTAATAGCTTAGAAGCTGGCAGATGGTATTTGTTGTATTTAAATACAAAGGTGTTCAATGGTTGCTTTGTGTTTCTGCAGCAACTGCCTGAGCACATCAGTGATAAAAGGCATAGGAGGTGAGGAGTAGGGATCTATTTCTGCAGTATTTATTCAAACAAAAATCCTGCTTATGTGAAGCCTGAAGAATCAAACCACATCTAGAAATATTTTTACCTATGCTTTTTTGGAATATAGTTGAGATTGAAAATTTGTAACTGAAGAGCTCTATGCATGTGGCACACCTGTATAGTGAGATTTATGATATATTATTAGGTTTGTTCAAATTTCTCGGAAAGAGACAAAATAAATAAAAAATCCACACTTGAAGTAGGATGGCTTTTCTCAGATAAAGTTGGTTTTATTGTCAAGACAGTGGAGGAGTGGAGGGCTTTTATTTCAAATATAAATTCAGTAGCAAGCTATGCCCTTGGAAAGATGTAAAATTGTAAGTGTGTTTCAAAAGACAGCTCTTAGCAGGGGAATCTGGAAGGTATATGCTTCTGTATTTTCATAACTGTGGCTTGGTTTGAGACAATTTGGAGGGGCGGAGACCTCAGATGAAAGCCTCCTTCCTCCAATTCAGTACCTCTGGTTCTCTCCAATACAGAGAGACCTAACAAGCCTGGATGTAAGTGAAAAAATAACTCTTTATCAAGAAGAATGCTAAACAATACTGATAAAACTGGGTTAAGCTAACTGGAAAAATTCCCAAGCTTCCCCCTACAGGACCACCTCCCACCACCCTCTGCAAAATGAGATTGCAGTCAGCCTCCCCCTACCTGTTAAAACCTGATAGGAACAGTTTGGATGGTCAACGCTGGAGTGAGGCTGCAGTGCTGGCACAGGCAGTTGGAGCAGGGCTGTGGCTGGAAGGACCCATAAGACACCCGCCAGATCCAGCGACGAGATCTGGTCACTGCAACTCTGATGGTAGTTGTAGTCCTGATCCCCTGAGGTGGTGGTAGAGGCCTGGGTGGTAGGAGTCCCATGGAGCAAGGGAAGGAGACCCTTGACGTCCTCAGTGAAGTCCCTATGGTCTTCTGTTGGGCTCAGGGTAGGTGGGAATGTCTCTGGTGAGTTCTCCTCTTGATGATTAATACTGGATTGCGGGGCATTTCAGGAATCTTTGACACCTTCTAAACACAGATGGATCCATTATGGCCATCAGCAGAGATGAATATCTTCAGGCCATTTGAGTGAATTGTCCTGATGTCTCCCCAAGGGGAATTATCGCAGATGAGTCATTTGTGTAAGGGCACAAATGAGGTGGCACGTGTGCACGCCCTCTGAGTCATCAGCCTTCCAGTCTTTTCACACTGGTGGATACATTCTTCTTCTAGGAGAGTACCACTTATCTTAAGCCCTCCCCAGAGTCTAAATTAATAGACTTATTTGGAGAAAAGAGAAAAAAGGTGGATATGAGAGTCTTTGTGTAACCCAAGACAAGCTGTCTCACTGCAATGTGAACATCTTTGGCTTTAGTGGGAAATTAGTTTCCAGCCAGTGAAATCTGCCATTGCTCAGTTAGCATATGGCAGTTTGGATCTCCCCTGCATCTGTGACTATTGTTTTGATGCCTAATAGCATGCATTGAGTAATCTGTACTCCTGCTGTGGTAGTAGTTACCTGCCCTGGTTAGAAACAAACAGATGGACTGACAAGTGAGTCATTAATCTGTACCATAAACATGTTTTTATCGTATTAAGGTAATGTTATTTGAATAAAGATTTTCTGTTAGTCTGGCTGTAACACTTAGCTAAAATTCATTCATGTCATTAATGTTGTCCAAGAGCTTCAGACAGTTAATTTTGCTCCTCGTGACTGAAAATGTAGATGACTTGTTCCTTGCTGTTTTCTGTTTTTGGTCACCAGTAAGGGACCTAAATTGAAAGGAATTGGGAAGTGTTTCCAAGACTGACCTGCTTTTGATCTTTCTTGAAGTGAATGAGGATGTGTGGTGCTTTCAGCTTGTCTTGAGCCAGGAAAGAATCATGGGTGTCTCATTCTTTCAGCAGAGGCATTCATACGGCACAGCTCTGCTCTGAGAAGGAGATACGTTTCACTTACCAAAGAATAACCCCTCGCATTAGACCTCTGCTTTGGTTCAGAACTTTTGTGATAGCTTTGAGAGGAAACAAATGTGTCACTTAACTCTTTTGCAGTCTTGACAGACAGCTCTCATTTAGTTGCGTGGTACCCTCATGTTACCCCCAGCTCAAGACATGAGTTGCTTGAAGAGAGCTATTGCTTTTAGTTTTCCTTTTTCCATCTCCGTGGAGATAGAGCTCTCCGAGCTTCTTGGCTTTACTGACTCGCTTCAACTTCCTGTGCCCCAGACCAGAAAGATTTCTCCAAATAGAAAGGCTTGATTTATAAATCTTGTGGTCAGACTTACAGTTCCAAGCAAAACAAATACAAAGCCTACAATACAAGCTAGTGCTTGCTAATGGGATAACCAAATGAAATGGATATGATTGTAACTAGGTTACTGCTGAGAAACCACTCTTCAGCTTGTAAAGGTAGCTGTGTTTTAAACAGTCCTCATTAGATGTTCTTCATTACAGCCATTTCATTGCCATGTGCTGTTGAGGTGACTGATGTTTTCAACATTATACTAACTTTTGGCTTTGTATATACTATGTACATTCATTTATTTCTTGTTTTTTATTTCAGAGATGGTGATGTTGCTGGAATGGTGGTCAGGCACCGATTGCACCCTCTACACTGATCCAGAGAGTTACGACAAATATGGGAAGGAGAATGCCATTGTAATCCTTAATCACAACTTCGAAATTGACTTTCTCTGTGGATGGAACTTTTGTGAGAGATTTGGCGTCTTGGGGGTGAGTTTATTTGGCATTTAAAATAAATTACTTCTTCTTGGATGTGGAAAAAAACACCCAAAATAAATTATTTGTGTTTTTGAATGCTAACAGATCTGTGCTTGAATTTCACCCACTGCTGTCCAGAATTATTAGTTATTACTTGGTTTGTGTTTGTGCTAATCTTAGGTTTCTCTAAGGAACTGATATATGTTGATTGTTTTTTCTTTTTTTTTTCTTTTGGTTTAAAAATCTGTTTCAGTCTTGAGTAATATACTATGGTTTTGCTTCCCAGAAACTGTTCCAGGAAGAAGTAGTTTCCATGTGCTCTTATTTGCATATGTGTCTTTACTCAACAAAGCAGTTGATTTCCCTGTTGGGGCAACCAGCTGAGGTTCATCTTAAGCCAGGTTAAGAAAAAAAAAAAAAAGGAAAATGCTACCACAATCAGTTTTCCTCATTGTATTGTCTGTATTGTTATACTGGTACTTGGCTTGGGGCAGTGCAGGGGTAGATGAATATGCAGGGATGGGGAATGTAAGTTGGTTTGACTTTGTGCCTTACATCAGTTTCCAGTATGTGAAGCTTCAGAGCATAGTGTGGCACCGCAGTTAGGAACCATGATGTTGAGGGCAGATGTTTAGGAAAAGGCGTTAGAGGAAAAAGGCAAGTGTCCAGTGAGATGTCTAAGGTGTTCCAACCTCCAGTGCTTTGTGGCTCAGCAACTTTGTGAGCCAATGAGGGTTTATTTTAATGATGTATAATTGTAGACTCCATTAAGTTTCTCTTCAAAGTTTAGGTATCTACCAACCTTACTCAGCTGGTCTCATGTCCACTGCTGCTGAAAAGGGAATCTTGCACTTGCTGCCTCCTGAATCTGTTCTGGTGCTTCTCTGTTCTGTTTTGGCATGTTTCAGATACCCTTTCTCTCTCTTTTCTGCCTTAACTAATCCGATGAAGAAACAAGAGATGCCTGGGGAGGGGGGAGAGGGAGAAGATGAAGACAGCTTAGAGCTGAAGGAGTTGGAACTAGTTGTGCTTGACTGCAGCAGGCAGACAGACAGAATGGCTTTGTTGTAACATCCAGCTGTACCCTGCAACCCTGACAGATAATGGCAGTGCTCTTAACAGTGTCACATGCATGTGTTCAAACTTTCAGCAATTTACAGCCTGAACTTCTATTAAATGAAACCATTAAATGTTGTAAATTTTTGCTTAGTTCTTGTGGTTTAACCATCCAGGCAGCTAAACACCACAGTTGCTTGCTCACTCCCTGCTCCCTGTAGGATGGGGGACAGAATTTGGGGATAAAATCTGTGGGTTGAGATAGAGTTTAATTGGACAGTAAAGGAAGGGACAAAAATAATGACGATGGTAAAAGAGAATATTCAAAACAAATGATGCACAACGGAGTTGTTCACCACCCTCCAGCTGTCAAGCAGCAGCCCCCAGCCAACTTTCCCCCTAATTTATATACTGAGCATGACATTATATGGTATGAAATATTCCTTTGGCTAGTATGGATCAGCTGTCCTGCCTGCATCTCTTCACAGCTTCTTTTGTTCCCCAACCCACTCCCTCACAGAGTGGTGTGAGAAGCTGAAGAGTCCTTGATGTAGTGTAAACACTGCTTAGCAACAACTAAAACATCCAGTTACCAACATTATTCTCATTCTAAATCCAAAACACAGCTACTGGGAAGAAAATTAACTCTATTCCAGTCAAAACCAGGGCATTGTTTTTGTTTATCTGAAAACAGTATTAAACATCCTTAAACATCTCTTGCACCTTCTGTCCCCAAAAGAAAAAAAAAAGTCCCTTTCCCTTTTAGGTTTTAACTGCGATATGAAAACTGCCCCTCCTAGTCTTACTTGCAGCATTCAGTCTGTGCATTTTTCTGCTCCGTCCATTGTGTCTCTTCTCCGGTACTGGCTTTCTCCTTACAGCCAAATTGCCTTAATCTCAACAGGTTTATAAAGCTCTCTCAATGTGGCTTTGTTTTTATCAGCGTTTGTTTAGGGGATTTTTTTGCTGGTTTTGGGGTGTGGAGTAGGAGTCTCTTGCCTGTTGTTTTTAGGTTTGGGAACCTGAGTGTTCTTACTAGGACTCAAATCTTGTACTTGTATGGCATGAGGATATCTGCTTTTGTGAAGGTTTTTTTTATTGTGTCTGGAAGAAGGTTTAGCAAAAAGAACCAAATAAGGTGCTAAGAATTTGAGAAGTGTGCATGGAGATGAGGAAGCAGAAAGAATGACAATTCTAACATTTATTTTACTTTTTCTTTTTTCTTTATGATATTTTTGAAGCACCCGTGGAAAATTCTAGGAGGTGCTAGGTTGACAATGCTGAGTGAGAGCCAGAGACCTGTTCATTTGTAGTGAAGAATGAGAAAACCCCATGAAGAAGCAGTTCTATGCTTGCATTTACTCTTACAAGTTATTGAGATTATCTTGCTAGTTTATGGATGTATAACTGGGGCGTATCAAACCTTACATGATTTTTTTCATTGTTGGAAAATTGAAGAAGGAAGCAAACTTCATGAAAACTAGAAGCAACAGGGGTTTCAGGAAAACCTGCATTGGGCTCAAACAGTCAATCACATCTGTATTCAAGTTGTGGGTTTTTTTGTGAAGGGTTCTTTGGGTTTTGTTTTCATTCCTTGGCACTCATCGGCCACATTTCCACCTCTCTGTGCTGCCAGAGCTCAGTGTTGTGTCCAGGAGGAGGGGTATGTAGGGGGCTTTGATGCCAAGTCAGCATCATGCTGCCATGGGCAGCATAGATGTCCAGGGATGGCTGAATCCTGCCTCCATGTGACACAGAGGTGGCTGCAACAAGCTGTAAGGGAAGGAGGAGCTGGGCTGCCAGCTTGGCTTTCTGTAGAGTTGGAAACAGCATAGCCCAACAGGACACAGCTTTGTCCACACCAGTGTTTCCTAATAAGAGACAGGGCTGTTACTGTGATCCTGAGCCAGGGTGACTGTGATGGTTGTGTTGTGAATGTTCTGCTTTTCTACCCCATGCTGGTGTGGTGGCTGGGGGGGGGGGGAGATGCTAACTCTGGTGTCTGTGTTTTGCTCTGTTCCGTAAATAGAAGCATGGACTTGGTGACAGGTCTCTCTCCGCTGTGCCCTTCCCATTTCCTGCCTGTGACATTACAGTCCTCAGATTTATCTTAGTGGTGGACAACCTAGATTACTGTACCACTATTTAAACACATTAAAAACATTTAGTTTCTTCCAAGTGTGGTTCTAACCATCCCACTGAAAACTGACCCACTGTACATCAGAAACAAAACTCAGGAAAGAGGCATATTCTGAGGAGGGAGGTGTTAGTCAGGATTTATACCAAAAGCACTTTAATATGCTCCCTGCCTGGATTGACTGCTTCACTGCTTGACCTGATTAAGCAGCGATAAATAGCTTTTCTAGTAATTTAATAACGCTTTTTCTGTGATGAAGACATTAATATTGGCAAAAACTGCCTGTGCTTTAAGGCTAAACGTGCTGGTTTATCTGTTTATCTTGTGGTGTCTCTGGTGTTTCAGGTTGTTAATGTTAGTGTTTCTGTCTCAGCAAAACATAAACATTATTCTGAGGGGCTCATGTTGCATCAAAATGTTTGCATGTCCAAAAGAGGCCATATTTCTCCTTAAAAAATCACTAAGCACATATAATAAATTTTAACCTTAACTATCTGTTCTTTATGTCAGGAAATGCAAATTTTATTTGTGTATTTTGAATCGTGCTGTTGGAAAAACTAATCATGGCCTTAAATATAGATGTGAGGAGAGACTTTTGTAGGTTACTGTATGGGACTGATAGGTGTGTGAGCACAGTAGTTTGTGCATTTTAAAGTATTAATAGATTTTAAACTAGATATGAAGGGGGAAGGGGATAGGGCTGAGAGTCGCTGCTGGTGTTTGAGAGGTGGTGTGCTAGTGAGGTTCTTTGGTCTGATAGGTCTGTGGGGGTAGGGCATGGAGATCCATGCAGCAGCAAAAGCCAAAATTTGTTGATATGTAAGAAACCGTGGAAGTGCCTGAGAATGGTCACATTGGAATTCTCCCCCAGAAAAAGTGCCGGGATCAATAGCCCAGCTGAAGTGCATCTACAGCAATGCACATGGCACAGGCAACAAACAAGGAGTTGGAAGCCATAGTGCGGCTTGAAAACTGTGACACTGTTGCACTCACGGAAACACAGTGGGATGACTTGCACAAGTGGAATGCTGTGGTGGATGGCTATCAGGTCTTCAGAAGGAATAGGCAAGGAAGGAGAGGTGGTAGGATAACCCTGTATGTTAGGGAGTGTTTTAACTGTCTAGAACTGGACAATGGTGATGAAAGGGTCATGTGTTTCTGGGTAAGGAGCAGAGGAAAGCCAGCAAGGCAGATATCCTGTTGGGAGTCTGTTACAGACCACCCAACCTGTGAAGAAGAGGCAGAAGAAATGTTTTATAAGCAGCTGAGAGAAGTCGTAAGAAGTCGGTAGCCTTTGTTCTTCTGGGAGACTTCAACTTACCAGATGTCTGCTGGAAATACAACACAGCAGAGAGAAAGCAGTCTAGGAGGTTCCTAGAGTATGTGAAATACAACTTCCTAATGGAGCTGGTGAAAGAGTCCACTAGGGAAGAGGCCCTGCTGGAGCAACTGATTGTGGTGTGGACAGGTTCAGTCTTTGCTGGGTAACAAATTGGCTGGACGACTGGGCTCACGGAGTGGTGGTGAATGGAATTAAGTCCAGCTGGCAGCAGATCACTAGTGGTGTTCCCCAGGGCTCAATTTTGGCACCAGTCCTGCTTAGTATCTTTCTCCAAGATCTGGATGAGAGGATCAAGCAAATCCTCGGCCAGTTTGCAGACAGTGCCAAGATGGCTGGGAATGGTGATCTCCTGGAGGGTAGGAAGGCTCTGCAGAGGGATCTGGACAGGCTAGATCACTGGGCCAAGGCCAACTGTATGGGATTCAGTAGGACCAAGTGACAAGTTCTGCCCTTGGGTCACAACAACCCCATGCAGCACTACAGGCAGTAGGGAGAGTGGCTGGAAAGCTGCCCTGCAAAAAAGGACTTGAGGGTGCTGGTTGCCAGTGGCAGAACATGAGCCAGCAGTGTGCCCAGGTGGCCAAGAAGGCCAGTAGCATCCTGGCTTGAATCGAAAATAGTGTCACCAGCAGGACCAGGAAGTGATTGTTGTCCTGTACTCAGCACTGATGAGACTGCACCTCAGTACTATATCCAGGGAGGGACTAAAGAAACGTATCTTTCCATCTCGATGCCCCAGGAGTATAAGATGAACGAGTGCTGTATTTCAAAAATAGAGCAGCGGGAATCATCAAGAGTATATCAGTGCTGAGGGTAGCCTGGAGAGCAGAGAACTTATGAGGCAAATTGCTGCTGCTAATGGTTTGCAGCTACAGTAAACTTGTTTTGAAACTGTGGAACAAATTCTTTGGACACTCTCAGCTTGCGCAGTTATTTCTTGCTGTTTGTTGTGCTCTTGATCAAGAGGTGTTGAATAACCGAGGCTGGGCATACAGAATCAAGATTTTCTTTCTTTGACAGCATAGCTGGGCAAATGCTTTTAAAATAAGCTTGTAAAAATACTTTTTTGTCATGTTGCTACAGTCATTCACATAGTGGAACTTCATACGTATTTCCATCTGAACAAACTTGGCCAAAATAAATTAACCTGCTTTAAAATTTTAATACTGTAGATAAGTTGTCCCTGTCCAGCAGTAATTTCATTACATATCTGTTTAAATTACACAGTTCTGAAGTACTGAAAATGCTTGACTTACTTCAAGAAGGCAGCTTACATGGAATAAATCCGCACTTTTTAATGCATTTTATTCTGTTGAACAAGCTGAATTTGAAGGTTAGAGGTAACTCGTATATTTTACCAAACGGTAAAGAAGAGGTTAGTGCTGAAGTCAACCAGAGTTGCATTTTTTCCCTCAGGTATTTACACAGGAGCTGTGCACAGGTAAATGTCTGAAACAGAACAGACTGTAGCTCCAGTTATTGTAAAAGAGATGGTAACTCCTGAGGGGAGGCCTAATGTATTCCTCCCACTCGAGAGCAATCTTGCCAGTATAATGCGCTGAGGAATTTCCTTTTTCTAGTTAGTTCTGTCATTAGTCTTCTTTCTACTCCTAAGAGAGATGGGTGCACAATACAGTGTGAGGTGACTTAGGTTCCTTTTATGTGTATCTAAGGAGTCGTACTCACACGTGTCTAGAAGAGCACTTTTAAATTTTAAAAATGCATTGGCAGAGTAAATGAATAAGAACATACCCTGGGGAAGAATTCAGACATCTGTTCTGCTTTTGTGGTTATACCTCTGCCACGTAACACCTTAGCTTACAGTATCGTTTCTTGATTCCACGGGGGGAGAGGGGAGAAAAAAGCAGTAGCAACTTCTCCCGTGTGCCTCCTGTGTAACTTGTACACTTCTTAAAATATGCAAAACATTAAATAGGTATGGTGAAATACTTAGTTAGCTTTTTGGACTAGAATTCCTGCATTTTAAAATGTGGGAGGGCGGGCTATTGGATTCTTTCTGACTGTGCTCTGGAGGCCTGGCACATTCTATACAGAGCACACCTAGGTTAGTTTATGGTATTCCTTATGATACTGAGTACTTATTCTACATAAACTTGAAGAGCATATTGGGGTTTTTTCTCGCTGTTGGCCTCATGTAGTGGCTTGTGCGGGGTTGTGGCTGAGGCAGACAGTAGTTCCCAAAGGTTTTAGTCCTCCCTGCTCCACTAAAAACAGTTCACATCTCTTGGGGTTTCTTGAGCAAAACCTTGTCTTGGCTGTCTTCCTCAGACATTTACGGTGGAGAGAAGCAGAAGAGCATGTGAATTGGTCTTGGTTCTTATGAATGGAAGCTATACTGTGCATGACCTACAACAAAAACACTGTTTGGAGGCATTTAAAGCTGTATGCTAGAACTATCTACATTTATTTTGAAAATAAGAAAATTACTTGTATTAAGAGTAACTGAGAAAAGGAAAAACAATAGCGTAGGAAACAAAACAGAGCTAAGGAGTGTTGTAGTAACCTGTTTCTCTGTGCCCAGTTTGGGGAGCTGGAAGAGAAGGCTGAGCTCAGTGTTGCTGCTGCCCTGTAGTACGGACTAAGGTAAAACATGGCTTGAAATTGAAATGACTAAAACTGTGCTGAATACTACAACTGCTCCTCGCGGGAGAGCTGGGTTTGGAGCCCTGATCTGAGCCTATCACTGAAATATAGAAAGTCTCAAATGCTCAAGAAGGAGCACTTCGTTGCAGAGCATTAAATCATTTGACAGAAATGGTTCCTGCATGCTTAGAAGTGGAATTGTCTGCAGTTTTCTATTCTGCTTCTATGTGACAATTGCTTGCGAAGCTGTGTGATGTGCACTTGCCTTCCAGTCTTATGAGCTTTTAGATAGCTTAATTATTTAAGGTATTCTCCTTCCGAAGGAAGGAGAGCAGATGAAAGAAATGAGCTGAGATAAAGAATCAGGTCAGGTCTCTTCCCCTAGCAACCAAACGAACAACAGTGACCAAAAAAAATGAAAAGTAAATATTTTCTCTTGATGGTAACTTCTACCAAGAAGTAATTTCTTGTAGTCAAATGCCATGTCCTGGAATCCATCTGCAGAGCATTTTGATGGGCTAACTTATAATGATGTCGTGGTTAGAAACTGGGCTGTAATTACTCCATTTGCCCTCTAGGGAAATGCCACTGTTTTTCAGGAGGTACTGAAGCAACAATTTCTTCATACACACAGCACATATATGTGCCATTTTGTTAATTAAATAACCAAATGAAACATGGGACAGCTCACCAAGGCTGGCTGGCTTGGAAAACAGGAAAGGAGCAACTGGAATCAGTTTTCCTGCCTAAAGGGATGTCAGTCTGAGATTATAACAGAGTTAAATTCTGGAGGAAGATTTGACTTTCTGAACTTGTTGAATGCTTGATAAATCATAGACTTCCTGTGGAGTGTCTGGACCAATCACTTCAGTGTCTGTCACACCTGTGAGACAGAAAAAGTGCCTTTTGTTTTTTTCCTACTCCAGAAGCATACTTTGAAGAGAAATTCACTACTGTATGTATTTCTGCCCTTTCATGAACAAACCTGAACACAAATCAAGTAGTCTTATTCTTCCATTGGTAAACCATGTGTGCAAGCGTCAGCATGTTGTACAGCAATGGCTCTGTGACTCTGCTTGAGTTACCACTATCCAGGGTCTACCTGAATTAAGAATTTCTGTTGATATGATTTGGGTCTTTTGCATGGATCTCAGTGTTTGAAGGAATTTGGCTTCTGTTTTGTTTCAGCATTTGGGTAGGATAGACAAACACATCCACGTATATGTTTAATTCTGGAAGTCTTCCATGCAGATACCTGATACTACATTTGACTATTCTGTCAAATGAGAAAAATTTATTTTTCTTTGTTTTTGTTTTTACACTGGTGTTAAAACTGGAACTGGTCAATAGGAACCAAGATATGAGTGTCTAACTGTGCATGTATCAGACCCACAGTGAACTTTTAAGTGGTTTAACTCTGTTCTACTGGCTTTAATTCTGTCTTGCAGAGTTCCAAAGTGCTCGCAAAGAAGGAGCTCTCCTACATGCCTATCATTGGCTGGATGTGGTATTTCCTAGAGATAGTCTTCTGCAAGCGCAAGTGGGAGGAAGATCGGAAAACAGTCATACAGAAGTTGCTGAGTCTCCGGGACTACCCTGAAAACTTTTGGGTGAGTGATGACTAACGAGTGGGGTGTGAGGTGCTGTAGTGCTTGGCAGGATTGAAGGGCACAGATGATATGTGATATTCACCAGGTTGCTTCTGAGAACTTTGGTTCATGAACTTCCTGGCAGTATCAGGAGAGTATTCTCGAAGAATTGAATTTTCTCTGGAATTTCCCGCGTAATAGTCTGTCTTGCCTGTTTTCTTCCTCTGTAGTATGGAGCCCTATAGATGTCACTGCAAAAATACCTGCACTGTGATTCATTCAGTAAATCTTGTGGTCCTCTAAATACAGGAGCCTGGATAGGGGTAGATGTCAGAGTTCATGGCAGTGTAACAGATGCATGTGATGATGTTGTTTTGAAACACATCGGCTGTATTCTTTACCTAAGATCCCCTCTTGCCTTAGATTGCAGAGTTCCTACTAGTGTTTTCCCCTTCCGTGTGATTTTGCCTTTCCTGTGAACGTGCTTGGTCAGACGTGGCCCAGTAGAAGTGGAAGCCACAGATAAGTATCTGGTCAGAGACATGGCCCACTGGGGCCATGGACTGTGTTACAGGGAGAGAGGATTGGTGTCACTTTTCAGTAACAGGAAAGTGTTACTTTTTGCATTACTGTAATTTTTTAGTATTGACCCTATTTGGTGTTTCCTGCTTTGAGAATGAAAAGTCTTTGAATTTTTTCTCTTAGTAATCAGAAAAATCATAGTTTTCATGAGCTAGTGATGACAAGAGAGCAATTCAGTTAAAGAAATGGTATATTAAGCAGCCTCACCAGAGCCTACAGAACCTATTGCTTACGAAGCACTTTCTTTATTAAGATGTACGATGTCTCATTCTCTGAAACAAACTTTTTTTTTTTTTAATTGTCATTGATTTAAACAAGTGCTAAGCTGTGCTTCAATAATGTTTAAATGACTTCCAGGCAGAGGACTGTGTAGTAGAATGCCCATTCTTGGATTTTAGTTTGTTTCTCTCACGGAGGTTTGCCTGTTCTCTGTGACTTTTAAAAGGTGTTGAATGCCTTTCTATGCACCTAGACAGTTCAACTCTAATCAGTGAGCACAAGCCACCACTATCCTGTAGATACTGCTGTAGAGAGATTACTAAGAAGGAGCTGTACCTCCATACAGGAGATAGTTGCTGATGTACACCTGGGGTTATTACGTGTGGAGTGTTAATTTGCCTTTGTATGATGACGTGTCAAAAGGCACATCAATAGCTCCTTGGAAGGTAGACAGGCAAAGCATGGGAAGTGAACTAGAAAGATTTTCTCATCAGTTTCTGTATGTTTCGTCTAGCTGTTTAACATTATGCTTGTGATACATGAGAAAAAGTGCTCTTGGATGAGCTAGAGCTGAAGCTGTCTACTTGGCTAGTTTTCTTCAACCTCTGTCTTTGTTGGCTTTGTTTTTGCTATGGGTTATGAGGACTTAGCTTGTGTGATTTGGCAATGCTCTCTGATGTGTTAGTTTGCATTCAGGCTTGGCAGAAAGCAGATAAGCAAGTGATAAATCTCCAAAGATCTGTGTGCTCTCCCCTGCCTGCCAGTGGCAAGATTGTAATTGTTCATGTCTGAGCACTTCCACTGTATAGTTCTTAAGGGCATGGGGCTTTCAGTTGTCCTGCATCTGCTGCCTTACACCTATTGCCAGCTCTGTCCTTGGCATCAGAGTTGCTGTGTGTAATTGTCAGTGTCCTGGTGCCGTAAGTGAAAGACAGGGGTTTGGAGTCAGGGGGTGCAAGCTGGGCACTGAAGCATTTCCTAGAAATGTCTTTAGTTTAGACACTTACCAAGATTTAGATACCATGACACCTGAACACTTCACCAGCAGTGAAACATTTGCAACAGGAGTATATTTTGAGTGTAGAGACTGAGTGACTCATTTAGAGAAATCAAGTAATTCTGATAGCAAGTAGCAGAGCAGATGTTTAAGCCTAAAGGCTGAAGTTCAAACACAGGATGGCAAGTTGGATGAGTGTTTGGTTTTGACTTTTTTGTTGTTTGTTTGTGTGTTTGTTTCGAATTTTTTGCTTCTGTCAAATAAATTACCTAAATGTGTGTGTGGCTACAACTGTTCCTGCTAGCAGTGTTAACTTGGGCTGTGCTGGTGGGCATTGAAGACACCTCTGCTCAGTCAGATGTAGAAGACCTGAGCTTCTGTCTAACTGGAGTTCTCTCTTGTTTTTAGTTCCTGATTCATTGCGAGGGCACAAGGTTCACAGAACAGAAGCACCAGATTAGCATGCAGGTAGCCGAAGCCAAAGGTCTGCCCAAGCTCAAGTATCACCTACTGCCACGAACGAAAGGATTTGCTGTCACCGTGCAGTGTTTGAGAAATGTAGGTAAGGAAAGTCACAGGGAGCAATGCTAAATGGTTATTTCACCTATCTGCTGTCAGTTTGCCATGCTTTTCTTTTTCCTCTAGGGTGGGTCCTAGCAGAAAAGCCCTGGGATCCTTTCTGACTTTTTTTCCACTACCCTATGATTTTACTAATAAATTCCTGGAGCAACTTGGATTTTTTTTATTATTATGATTATTTTTGGTATTTTTCTGTTACTGTTACTCTGTATTGGGAAATCTCAAGTTGTGTGTTTTGTACCTATTGCCAAAGAATAGTATTTCTTAGTATTCACTAAGCTATTCTATTCTAAATGAAGCAAATGCATCAGTGGAGAATCTGAGGCAATGTGTTGTAAAATATTTTCTTGTGGTAAATACCTGCCTCAAATGACATAGTTTTTAAATTTAAAAAAAAAATATTCTGCTTTAAATTCCTGTATAGATTTGCTCTTTAGAGTTTCTTTGTGGAGCTGAGGAAGGGGAGTAGACCTTGACTGAAGATACATGTAGCTGAAATTTTTAAACAAATTATTTCTGCATTACAGAACATGAGTAAGTTTTTCTTTGTTAATGTTGTTCTTAACTCCCTACCCCCCTAGTTATGTCTGGTTACTTGCATTTGCCAACTTTAAGATGACATCAGTAAGAATATTGCACACATTGCCTTTGAAGTGATTTTTTTTTTTTGACTAATACTATCTATCAGAGTTTTCTGCTGTGGACTTCATGGGCAAAGGAAAGACAGTGCTAAGTAGCCACAGTGTTACAGTATTTTTGGGGGTTGGTAGAGTTTTATGTATTGTTAAAAGGCTGCTGTGTAAGAAAGACAAAGTGGTTATGGGTTTAGAAGAAAATGTTCTAGCTTGACTGAAGCTAATGTCAAAACTCCTTTTGTCTTTGAAGACATGTTTTTATGTGGCGTATCTGGGATAGTTGCTGTAAAAAAAACTTTGCAGTCAGCTGTTTTGCTGTCTGTCATACTTCTTCTACATATCCTCATGTGAGTCAGGTAGATCATATCACTGTTGTAGCTTACCAGGCACCCACAACTTTCCATCCCCAAAATGGATAGCATAGCTTGGATCTTTTTTGATACATGAAGAAGAGATAAGTTATGTGAAGCATCCTGCAACCCCCTTAAGGGCACAGTTTAACCTTGCATTTTGAATAAGAGTGGCTGTTTGGCTGAAGGCAGGGAGGTGGTAGACTTGAGGCATTGAAGAAGGGATGAGTCAAAACTCTGTGACCTCTAATGCCCTGAGCTGGGAGTCAGGGACAGGTTGTTTTGGTGGTGATTTTGTTCTTTTCAGTGCTCTATGTAGTACAAGTGAAATACAGCACGGTTGTGAACAAATAGCTGATTTATGGGAAGGCGTTTCAAAAGGAAACAATTTTAGGGAACCCAAGTGACATTTATAAAAACTTTTGGGTGTTCATGCACTACACTGCAGTAGCACTTACTAGGATCCTAAATATTTGAAATACCTTCAGAAAAATAAAGCTGAGATTGCCAGATTACTTTTATACTTAAGGGAGTGTGTGTCATCACCTCACTCCAGAGGCTGTGACTTGCTAGATGAAGCAGTGTAAAGCCACGAAGAAGGTAGTGTTTCCCTGTGAGAGTTCAGGGAGAAGCACAAAGCCAAAGCTTCTCATATACAGTTTCAGCAAAAACTGTCGAGCTTGAAAACCCAACCAGCAAACCTCTGAGGGTTTGATGACCCTCAGTGCTGCAGGTTCTCCAGGATATGTTGCTTTACTTGCCTTGTCACTTTTTGCAATGAGAGGGAGATACTAGGGTTATCGTCTGGGTTATTATATGTTTCTCTCCTGTAGAGACAAGGGTTACATGTGACGAGCATTTGAAAAGCCTTTTTAAACAATGTCTTATTTTTAGAACTTATTGTAACGTTATGTACAGGTAACAAGGAAATCCATGCAAGTTTTTTGAATAGAGAATGTGATGGGAGTCTGTTTTGACAGTCCATAATCTAGAAATGTAAGTTCTATCTAGAAGTTAGGTCAAATCTGCAGTGGGGTATCCCTGTGCATCTTTGAAAATGAGGCACTGGTGCTGAGCTGCCTGACTCCATTTTGGGCCCTGCTATTTAGGCTAATGCACTTTCAGCTCTCCTGTAAGGGGTGGTAGCCCTGTCTGGAGCTGCAGTACCACGTAGCAGGAAAGTCAAGCCACAGGTTTTGGACCAGTTCAGAGCCTCTGTGGTTTTTTTCACTCCTTTCTGACAAGGGTGTGATTCAGCTTTTTGGAGTCTGTAGTACTATAGCATGGACAGATGGTGTTCTTTCTGTCTGTAGAGGAAATTCACTGATAGTAGCAGTGATCACAGGTTGGTCCTCTTCAAAACTTTGTATCAGCTCTTAATGCTCCCTGGTGCAGTCCTTCTGGAAGTAGTTCTGAAGCACTTCTGCAGTAGTTAGAAATAGACATGTGTGGCATCAGTCTGGTAAGTCCATCTGTTTTGAAAACTTACCTTCAGGAGTTTACACAATGTACATACATGAGAAGCTGCCTCCATAGCAGTGATGCCTTTCTGTCAGCATAAGCAGATATATTTGGATAAAAATATCTTTCACATGAGAGAACAAGTAAAGAACCTTCCCTCCTAATTCATTTCTTTCATAAGTGATAATGAAATTCTTCTCAGAGATTTACTTTCACAAGTTCAGACCTCTGCACACAATTTGATTTTTAAAGTGCTTTTAATATTTTTTTAACTTGTTCTGATAATTTTGTTAGTGACTGTCTCTACCAGTGTGGTAGTAAAGACACAGTCCCCAAGAACTTAATTTCTAGAAGCTATTTGCTGTCTTAATAAATCACTTTTTGCTACCTGTATTGTTCATGGAAGCAAATGAAAACACAGATCTGTTTCTAAAAATCTCATACATTATTTATGGTAAAAATAAATGTCATAAATACTGCAAAATATATATTTAACTGTTGCTTTTATTGTCTGGCTGTATATCAGGCAGTTCCTTTCAGCTGTTTTTATTTAGTGAAGACTTGTATTTAAAAATGTGCCTCAAGATGGACTGTAGATAAGCCCAAGTTGTGTTGTGCACCTTTTCCTCCAGTGGTGCACACTGGGAAGTGCTGTCCTAGAGGAAATGCAAGAGTGGTGTTCTCATAGAATTCAATATGAAAGCAAAACTTCATTTGATGCTACCTATATTAGCCTGAGACTGAGACAGTTGTTGCAGTGTTTTCAAGATAGTATAGAGGGATTTTTTAAAATTATTTTAGAAAGTGAAATTTCTGGACTCTTCAGCTTTTGGATGAGAAAGTCATGAGATGTCCATTTCTAATTATGTGTTTTCAAAATCCACATTTAATGATAACCAGTTCCAGTGTGTCACACAGCATACTGGTGGTGCTTTGGCTGTGGAAGCTTTCTGGCAAATTTTAATTTCATGCAGTATTTTTTTTTTTAAAACTTCTATTGTTATTCTTTTCCTACACTTACAGAATGAAGAAGTTGAAGTTTTTAGTTATCTTCTGTTATATCTGGATATAACCGAGGTCTCTTTACTCCTGCATATGCTGTCGTTGTCTTGGGTTTGTCACTGCTTTGCACCAAAAGGTTTCAGTGTGTTATTAAAAGGGACTGGACTGAATATGAAACTACAGACCAGCTGCAAACTGGAATAGTATTTCTTTTTTTTTTTTTTTTCCCTGGAGAAAAGGAAAACTCTGTAATGCTGTCAGCATATAAAGATGTTCCTGTCCAACTCTGAAGAAGTTTTTTTCAGAACAGGAGAACCATCTTCCAATTTGTCTGAACAAAAACCCAATTCGTATAAAACCTCAGAAGGAGATATCTTCCAGAAAATGAAAGGACAAGTGTTGTGTGTATCATACTTTGCTTTATTGCATCCCTATTGTTGTTAGAATAATGGTATTAAAGAATAAACTAAGAAGCTTACCCTGTATAAACCAAACTGAGCTCTTGTTTTCATTCAATTACATTGGATTAGTAAATTAGAGTAGATTAGTAAAATCCTTCTATGTTAAGAAGCTTAAAAATGGAGGCAGATAATTTATTGAAGAAAAAAAAAGTAATTTCCTACTTGTATTGTACAGGGAGAGTAGTGTGCTAGAAGTAGGTTTTGGCTTATGTGTTGCAGTTTCGAGTTTGGGCTAAGAACCTGACTGTAGTAGGTAAAAAATGGAGTTGTTAGTGCGGGGTACAGTCTGTGTGCAGTGACAAGGGTTTGGCCTTTGCATTCAGGATTTTCTTTCAGTGCTGAAGCTGTTGTGTACTTTGAATTCTGTTTTGCAGTAACAAATGATGTGGTGAGTTTGTGGGAGCTGAATGCTGTGACCAAGCCGTATTTATCTCTCATAACTAGAGAGGTTTCAAAACCAAGAGCAAATCTGTGCTATGTAGTAAAAGTCTTTCTTAGGTGGGTCAAGACCTCTCACAGTAAAGGTTCATGACATGGGTTTTTATTCGTTATTGCAAAACTCTGGAGCAGGAAACTTAAAATACAGCAAGCTACAGCTGAAATGCTTTTTAGTCACTTATGTGACAAAAAAAGGGAAGTTTTTTTGCTGTCATTTATCTTAGAACTCATACCATGATGCACAACATATTTTAGTTTCAGGAAAACAAATTGTTCTCTGGTAATTTTGTGACATCAGGAAAAAGGTGTCTTTAAGCATGTGTTCAGACAAACTTTTTTGAAACAGTGTATGTGGTTTGACAGTGAACGTTTTTTCTTTGGAAACTGCTTGTTAATGTTGTCTTAATGCTATCTGGTTTATCTGTGATTGGTCTTTGCAAATGCTTTTGCTGTTACTGCTCAGTCCTGAACTGCAGAAACAGTTTTCTCAGCACTGAAAGTTTGGCTGGAGTTTTGTTCAGTGGAACTTGAGTGTTATACACCTCACATTTGCATGTCTTCATAGCAGCAGCCCAGCTCACACAAGATGTGGTCTGTCATTCTGTCTCTGCCTTTACCCTGTAGCAACTGCCTGAGTTATCAAATAAGGGACATGAAGAGGGGGTTGGTTTTGACCCTAGCAATTTATAGTTGCAATAAGCCCTCCTGCTGTAGGATGTCTCTCACACACACACACACACACACACTTTACCTGATCTTAGTCAAAGGTTGTATATTGTTCATTGTTTATAAAGTGTGTATTTGCCTGGTTGTTTCCTTACATTTAGGGGGGTAGTTGAATCATTCACAGTGAATCAAGAAAGGCAACAGTTTTTCGACCATTGAATCCTAGGAAGTCCTCGGTACAGTCTGTCAGAAACTGTAACTGTATGCCCGTCATTCTGCACCTGATGGGGAAAGAGGCAAGGGTGGAGAGCTGGCCTTTTCATTCTACTGGTGCAGTTCCTGAAAGGGTCACTGGTTATTTGGCTTCTTAAATCCTGCATACTGAATGTTCCATTGTCATTTTTACCTTGGTGACAGCTCAAACTGTGGTGCTATTTGAATATTCTCTTTGTCTGAGAGATAATGACTTATTTCCATTGTGTTACTATGGTAATCACATAACCTGTTTCTCTTTTTGTAGTTTCTGCAGTCTACGATTCTACCCTCAATTTTAGAAATAATGAAAATCCAACATTGCTGGGAGTTCTAAATGGAAAAAAATATCATGCAGATTTGTATGTAAGGCAAGTAATCCATAGTTTAATTCCTTTTTAGCCTACTGGAGTGTGTACTTGCAGTCACACTTGGACAAATAACGGAATGTTTTCAAGTAAGTAATGGAAAGCAAATCTCTATCAACCTGGCTTCACAGAGCTTCAGATCTTCCCATCCCTATTGGATGGGAAAGGTTTCTTGTAAAGTTCTGCGACTGTAAATGCGTGAGGAACCCATAAATGTCTACAGTACTTTTTGTTTGTTGTTTTTTTATTCATTTGCCTGTCTGTTTATTGGTTCAGGAGCAGCAGTGGGGCCTCTTTTCAATCCCTTGGCCAGAATACCAAACATCCTCTTAGTGTTCAGAAGGAGTTGCATTATACCTGTCTCTGGCACAGGAGTTCCAGCTCTGGTGGAGCCCAGGCTGAAGACTGTTCTTATCTCTGTTTGGTAGTGTAGTTTTGATGTATTTGACTGCTGCTCCCTCCCTACCAAGGGGTTGTTTAATGAAAAAAACACTACTTGGATTCCTTTTCAGTAATGTTTCTGTAAGTGCTGAACACCCCAATGGCTTCCCATAATCTTAGTGGGAATGAGCTGATTCCCAACTGAGGTTCCACCAGCAGCACCCACACTACAGGCACTCAGGACATGTGATAGTTTAGCATTGCTGCATAGGAGCCTAAAAGTGACACCACAAGTGACCAGGAGTTCATCATAACCCCTTTAGAGCTATAGTGGGCTAATCCAATTGGTTTATCTTGGAATAGGGTGACCTTTTCTTTTTACCTCCCCTTTTCTGGCTGTTTGAAGAAATATTTTCTTCAGAACTGCTTTTGCTCAAGAGTAAAGAGAAACTTTCTCTTGGTACCTCTTCCCACCTGCTAGCTTAACCTAGTTGTCCTTGTGTTTGGTGTACACAGCCTGGCTGGCTAGTGTTCAGGGAGGAGCAGCTGGCCCTACCTCTGTGGGCCATTTCTCCAACAGAGCACAGGGGCATCTCCTCTTCCTGTGTCTCCGTTTACACCATTCCAGCCTGCTGCAAGTCATTCTGGCAGAGTATGGAAATTGCTTTTCAAGACTCAGGGTAACTATTTACCCTTCTGTCCTTTTGAGCTTCTTGAAAAACTCTTGCAGCAGGGTAAGCCTCAGGGCTAAATATTTTCTGGCAGTTAGCTGGGGACTGTCAGGGATTTTCTTCAAAATCCTCCATATTTGGCAATCAAAGTGCCGTAGGTATTGTACTAAATGGAATTCTGCAAAATTTGGATGGCCATATTAAATTGCATTGGCTTCCAATGTTTGTCACCTTAATACCTTTTTAACTAAAGGAACAAACCAGTAGTGTCACACCTGTTAATTTACTAACTGCAAACAGGAGTGTCCCAACTGTGAGATGTGCTTCTCTTGTGCTAAGGGAAGTTAATTTGATGCTGCCCTTAATGGATATTGATTAAAATGTATGCTACATTGAAAATGTAAAATTATTAAATATTGCCATTGGCGTACTTAAATGAGGATGGTAAGAGATTCTTTTCTGTCACAGGGTTATTGACCAAAATTCATATGATGAGATGAAAACTTTGTTTTGTCGAGAGAGAATATTTTTAGTAATAGGAGGCATTTTGCTTCACATAACAAAAATTAAAAGAATTGGAAATGTTGACGGAGAAACACTAGAGAACTTTGCCATAGGTATAAGAAGAATAGTTTGTTTTTTCACTATATTGCCTAGCTGATTAAGTACAGCCTTCAACTTCATAGGTGGGGTAAGAAATTCATTAATTCAAAAACCTTTGTTTGGAAACAGATAATTGAAAACCTTTATCTAGAAAATTGCTCTAGTGAGCTCAAACATGATGCATGACTGTTTCAGAAATCTAAATTTCTGAATTTCACGTATATCTAAGAATTGAAGGTGGCTCTAGAAGCAAACTATACTTTGCTGATCTTGGAGTTGTTACCACAAGTTAAAAAAAGGAGAAAAATGCAGCAAGTCTCCTGTCAGATGGATAATCTGTCTGTATAATGCCAGTGCTGTTCGTGGGAGCCAAAGATTTAATATTCTTGAATTTCTCTTGTTTACCATTGGCAGGCGGATTCCACTAGAGGAAGTCCCAGAAGATGAGCAGGAATGTTCTACCTGGCTCCACAAACTATATCAAGAAAAGGTTAGTTTTTTTGTCTAGACAGCACTTGTGAGCCCTATCGCTCAGTTATTTATAATGCCAGTAGACCTTTACAGTGTCCATGTGTAGTGGTCCTAATTTGGAGGCTTAGAGGGGATGTTTCTGCACATACAGACTGATGTTGTGCTACCACTCATGATTGTCTTTATAAAGAGCAACAGGAAGAAAGCTAAACAAGTCTTTGTAAAAGAGTAGTTTTAAAACTCTTCTTTACAAAAGTTGCGTAAGAATACAAAAATCAGAATCATCTTCTGTCTTGTGTTCCTTCCCCTAAAAGGCACCTTCTTAATCAAGAAGTGTTTTGTGCGCTAAATGAGATATTTTTAGTGTATTAGAATTTCTGTCCCCTTACCAAGGCAAACATCCAATATTAATAGGACAGGCTGATAATTTGCTTTCACAGTGTGTGTGTAGAAGGCATGCATTTAAGATTCCTAATTAAATATGATGAGGAGAGAATAATAATGACTGTGTATTTGTAGGTGGCTGGTGGAGTTTTTTTCTTATTTCCAAATGCTTTCATATACATCCTTCGGTCTTTCAGAATCTGTTTCTTCTGGGCTTTGTTTTTATGAATACAGGAGATAATGTTTGGGGATGTGCTTTTTGAATACACCCAGCATTCCCATTTCAATCAGTGGGAGTCATAGGTATGCATGGCATGAGGGCCTGGCAGCTCAGTTTGCTTCAATACATTGATCAAAGTTATGTATTCAGACTGGAATGCAGTAATGCTTTGGATTTAGAAGTGATAGAATATAGCTCTGGTTTCTTCTCACTGGGACAGCAAAATTCTGCTGCGCCATTTGTCGTGTTCTACCCAGGACACCATGTTAGCATTTCTGTATTGACTGTGCCCTAGTCTTTCTTAGTTTCATGCCGTGACTGTTTCTGTTTTAATTCATAGCCCCTCTAAGCAGCTTGCTTACCGGAATGAGAAAAGTAAATGTGTCTTGGGACCACCCCTTTGCCTCTGATCCCCCTTCTTGTAATTTGTGCCAGTACCACCTAATTGAGACACAACCTCCAGCACCTCTGCAGAGCAGCAGGATGTTTCCCACAGGCTCGTACTCGTTCTAGGGGGATATCTATGCAAATGGTCCTTTCGCTGAAAATTGCAGAAGTCCACTTTCTGCTACTATGAATTTGTAGCCCTTTTTCACGTTCCCGAGAACCATTTAGACGTTTATAAGACAAGAACATAAATGAGAATATGGTAATTGTTGTCCTGAATCCCTTATTACTTAGTTTGCAGTAATTCACTTCAAGTTTGTTCTGTTATTCAGTCTTTGGTGAACACTCTGTTACTTCTAATGCAAATAAAAGTGTACACCTATCCTATACACTATTATATGATATGGTATAACATAACATCCTTCCTATCTGTTCTTAATGGCAGTTTTGCTGGTTGGTTAAATCTGTAGTTTCTTGTTAAGAATAGGAGGGAAGGAATGTGTATTTAGTTTTCTTTTCCTTTAAAACCTTTTTGGTTATGTAGCTTTTTTTTATTATTATTCATTAGAGGTGGGTTTTTGTTTGGGGATGGTTTTAATTTTTTTCTGAGGGTGACACATTTCTCAAGCTGTTTTACATTAGTGAAACTGTTATTTCATTGCAGTCATTCCTGGTTTACTGAAGCCCATGACTTTGTAAAATCAGACTGGCAGAATGTAGAGCAGGGACAACTTTGAGATGATGAAATCCCACCTTCAGGGTAAAAATGCAGTTTTGTTTCACCTTTCTGTCCTGCATTTAAAAAAAAGATAATTGGCTTTTAGGTCAGATAACAAGCAGCTGCTCAGGTGCTGTTTCCAAAAATGAGTTCTGTTTCAGATTGTCTTCAGAGTCAGTAAATGTTTATGATAAAATGTAACAAATCTGCATTCAAAGGGCAGTAATTAATTTCAAGATACGCACTCATCCCCTTCTTTGTCTATTTTGGTTGTAGCACTTCACTTTCTGTTTCAAAACAAGGCAAGGTGTGCACGCAACTGGAAAGCAGAGCCCCTATTTTATCATGCATTATGGTTACGTGTGCCTTTGCTTATTCTCAGTGAGTTTTATAACTTTGCAGTACTTTCTCAAGACTTATGTACAGTGTGCTGAATTATGCTGTAGTAGCATGATCTAGTGACTGGGGAGTGCCACATGTACTGAGGTCAAGGCCTGTGCATTATGTGATCACCATGCACTGCTGATCAGGACTGCAGAGCGGTTGGAATGAGTAATAATCAGTAATTAGTGGACATGGAGGATTATGACTTTTTTTTTTTAATTAAGTTGACATAAGTAGTGAGAGTCTTCTAGATAAGGTTATGGTGGGGTTTTTTATGTCATTGCCTGATCTCACTTACATGCCCCTCTGTCAGAGATACTTCTCTCTGGGAATCTGGCACGTTTATGTTCTTGCTACTTAGTACTTCATTTTTTTGTTTAACCACTGCTGCAAATGCAGTAAGCAGAGTCTTGCCAGATAAACAGTGGCACTGTGCTCTTCTAAACAAAACACTGTTCTCCTTCCTTTTCCAGGCTTACAGTAAGCACTGTGTCCTTGTGCTTCTTCCTCACCTGAGGTGGATTTTGTCCTTTGGCATATGTCTAACACTGCATCAGTTAATGCCAAATTATTACGGAGGTCCAATTTGTGCGGCACATTGCCATTTTCTCTTATTTCTTTTATTTTTTTAAACTCCCATTGCTAGAGAGGCTGCCTTTGACTTTAACAAGGGCTGGGTTTAGGATCTTAGTGCCTGGTCTGAAGAGGTACTGTGTAATAGTCACAGCTCAGCCAGCATGTTTGTTTTCTTTTTTTACCTCCTTACACCCTCAGTGCCTGAAATAGAAGATCTGCTTGAGAATCTTAATTTCCATTAAAAAGAAAACAAGCTTCTAACTTTTCTCACTTGTAAGAGAAGCATGGAAAACAGGGCATGAAAATATATGCTGAAATGCCCTAGGGAATTAGCAAAGCATAACTGAAGAGGGCAAGTGTACAGAACTCCAGTGTTTGGGAACAAAGAGTATATTTTTGGATACTCATTCTTTGTGGGCTTCCTCATGAAAAGGCAGCGGCATACCTCTGTCGTCAGACCTCCTGGGAGGAAGAATCTAGTTAGCTTCTGATGGATGTTCCCTGCATTACCCCCACATTGTCTGAAGTAACTTAAATTTGGTGGGGCCGATAGAGGGAGCACGTTTCCATGTCTGAAAATGATACTTGAGTGGATGGGATTGATTACAAACTGGAAACAAGGTCTATATGCGGGGAAATGAAAGGAGCTTAATGTAGGTGAGGTGATTTAAGGAAATTATGAGGTACATTATGTGCTTAAAGGCTGACTTAAGATGTTGATGGGTACCATAGGCACTCTTGCAAAAGCTTAGGAAACAGATTAACCCAGAGATGTCTTTTGCAAGGAAAGTGAATATATTTGAGCATAAGGAATCTTAACTCAAGAGCTCTTCCCTCACAGTGGTGTGAAATGCATAGTGGAGGTGTTGGCTTTGACACTGTTTTGCCTGTTGTATATGTTTTCCATCGTCTCAAACCTTTCTGCGATGTGGCCAGTGGTTTTGCTGCCCCTAATGCTGTGCAGAGCCAAGAAAGGACACACTCCTGGGTTCGTTTTAAGTGAGCCTGTCCTGCTCTCTGTAGAAACAGGCCCTCTAATGGCAATACCAATAACAGTCAGGAACTCTTCATTTTCCTGGGTAATACTGGTGTTTGGGAACCTAATTGTATATAGTAGAATTCAATTTACTGATGATTAGTAGCTCTGTGTTGTTAAAGCAGTTATAAACCAAAGTCCTCAAGGCACTGTAAAGAAAACTTCATACCCTGTGTATTCTCTTGAAGATGGCTGATTAATTGGCCATAGTGATCGCAGTACAGTCTAGCTTGCATGAGTAAAAAAAAAATCGTAAGTTTTCTCATCTCAGTAAAGAGAGTACACTATGTAATTACTGTGTAATCTCTTAAAAGCTGAATCTTCCCTTTAAAATAGATAAAATGGTAGCAGCTTGTAATTGCTCAAGTTGCTATTAAATAAATAAAGAATTATTTATGTCAGCTGGAATGTAAGTGTAAAATCATAGCATAGTAGAAATAAACTTCTCGTGTTGATTAGGACAATCTTGGCTTTGCTGGAATTTTTGGAAACCAAAAATCTGTTCTTTGAAGAAGTATAATACTTCATTCTGGCAAAACTAAGATTCCTTTTTATGTCAGTCTAAAGCTGACTTCATTAATTAACCAGTTTTATGTGATTACACGGATTATTAATCTTTGCTTTTGAACAAGTGGGAAGGGTTTTTTACCCCACCTGCTTTTGATATCTTTGGTTGATCAGATCGCTGACAGCAATGCTGTTCACCCCATGGGCTCTACAGGAAGGTACTGAGTTCTAAGTCTTCTGTGCTTTAAAAAACACACACTGCAGAACAGAAGAAAAATAGCCCCCACTCCATTATCTTCCTCATATTATACAAAAAGGGAGAGTCCTTTGGTCAAAACCAGTGAGAGATTGTAAACTGCATACTCAACTGCCTGTAGAGAGTTTCAGCACCCAAACTTCCTTCCACAAGCTTCATGGGAATGAGGTGAACAAGACTGCATCTGTGGGACAAAGCAGGTGGGAGATGGGGTGGTGTTCTTCAGAGTATGGGACAAGATGGTGTCTGGTCACCTTTTCTGACCGGTTGGTGGGTGCTGTTTTAGAGCAGTGCAGTATTGGAGAAAACGTTAGGGAACAGAGAATCTGCTGCTGAGTATGTAGCTTACCAGCAGTATTTGGGCAGTGGCATTGGCTCTTGCAGGAGGTTCAGTATTGCTGCAGGAGTGTACATCCATCACCCATCTTGTTTTACTGGGCTTGTTATACTCTCCAGGTATGCCATTTATCAGGCTGCTATCTGCAGGAGAAAGAAAGTATGTACACATCAGTGTGTGCTCTTTCCTTTTTTTTTTTTCCTTTTTCCTTTTTTTTTTTCTTTTGACTCTGTATTCATTGACTTCAAAGTACAAGCTTTCCAGCCATCATTTGGTCTTTGATCTTCCCCTGTGGTTACAAGCCTGCAGCAGGTGGAACATCAAAGTCAGAAGTGGCTAGTTTTGTTGGCAGATGGGGATGTAATTGTTGCTCTCCTTTGTTCTACTAGGATGCATTCCAGGAAGAGTATTACCGAACAGGAACCTACCCAGCAGTCCCTATAGTGCCACCCCATCGACCATGGACACTTTTGAACTGGCTTTTCTGGGCCTTATTGCTGCTATATCCCTTGTTCAAGCTGCTCATCAACATGATCAACAGTGGATCATCACTGACACTGGCTAGTTTTGCATTTGTCATTATAATAGGTAAGTTTTCTGAACAAAAAGATTACTTACAGGGTAGCTTTCAGATACGATTTATTGAGGGTTGCTAAATATAAAGATGACTTGTGAAGTTAACAGCCCATCTGTCGGGTGGTTGATATTATATCCACTTTAACTTGGAATAGGTTGAAAAGATTCTTTGTTTGTTTATTTTTGTATAGTTGTATTATTTTCTATAAGAGCTGCCTACAAAATTTTCTGTTTCTGTAGAAATCAAAACAGTGACTTCTCAGTGGGTTGCCTACAAAAGGCTTTCTTTTCTTGTGTTGTGCTTTGCTGGGTTGTACTTTGAATGCCTAGAAGAAAGGCTTAAGGATAATTTATTCTATTGAGAATTTTTTTGTCTAATCATAGTCTGTGTCATGCACTGGTAATCCATGAACTCGTGATTTAAGCACAGCCTGTTGTGACCCTCTTCTCTGACTTCTGTAGCACAGAGCATAGACTATCACAGGTAATTCCTACAGTTCTTGTGGTAGTTCTGAACTGCCTGGGTTTGTGTTTAAATTAGTATGTTATTTAAGGGGAGGAAGGAAAGCAAAACAAAGAGCTGGCCCACAGAAAGGGAGGGAGTTGTCATTTAGTGTCCTTCATGGAAGCAAGAACCAGATCAGTTTGGCAAAATACATCATAGCTGAGTGTCTACGATTGGATGCTTGTGTGAAGAGTAAGTTCCCTTCTATAATAAGCCATACATTTATAAAGCAAATACTTTTTATGATTGCATTGACATCACATGTATTTATGGTTTTATCACCTTAACTTCTGTGTGCCTTAAAAATGCCCTTTGAAAAAGAAACTGAACTTCACAGTCCTTCTGGCTGTTAGTGAAGTGGATGCAGAGATATTAGAGTTGGATTAAAAAGAATAGCAACACAGAGGAAATAGAAAAATGTGGAGCATTTTCTTGTTTCAGAAGTGCATCTTTGCTCTCTACCTAGGAAACTGTTCCTAATGCACAGTATTTCTTAGCATCCTTAGAGGTCTGAATCTTGAGCAGGTCCCATTCTAGTTTGATCAAGATTAACCAACTAGTGTCTTTGTGCCCATTGTGAAGAGCTTGACGTGGTAGGCACACAATATTCTTTTTCATAAAGTGCCCACAGAAACAAACACTGCGTTCAGCTACTGTTAAGGCTTCTTATAAAGATAAATGGAGGAGGAAGAATTTGTGTGTGCAGGCAGACAGCAAATGTACTTCGTGATGCTTTGAGCCAGAGGAAGGAAAACAAGAGCAAAGATTAGGTCCAAAATAATGGTTGGTAGATGGGCAGGAAGAAAGGTAAAGGAACAAAGAAGGGAATCCTGTGCTCTTGTCCTCACCTGGAGAAATTGTTGGTGATTGTTAACCCTGAGAATGCTTTGTGTAAATTGTGTAAGAATTTCTTGGAGCAGTGACTACAACTTAGAAGCATCTTCTTTCACCCACCTTCCTTGTTGAAAGTCACAAGTAGTGCCGCCCTCTCCCTTTCTCTGAGTGGTGAATAGGATGGGAGTGTAGAGTGAGAACCGTGGTTGGAGTGTGCTCTCAGGAATGGGAGGTGTCAGGTTCAAATCCCCATCAGTTGCAGAGAAAGGCTGATCAGCCTCCCCTGTGCTCTTGTTTGAAATGGATATTCAACAGTGGGTTGATGAGGTGTGACACCATTGCAAATGCTGCTTCGTCCCTGGCAATAGAACTCAGGAGGGCATTTGTTCTGCCTTTGAAGAAATGCTGGCATAGTCTGTTTGGTACTGGACTGTGGAACAGTGGCTTAATGGTGCACTGAAGCATAGCCATTCCAGATTTTTTTTAATTTGTCATCTTTTCTTCAGCATTTTCCTATTAATTCAGTTTTTCCACTCAGCAAGGTGGGTGGTTGGGTGCCATCCCAAAGTGCTTTATGCCTCGTGTGCTCTTCACGGGAATCCTTGTTCCGTAATTCAGCCTTTCTGAAGTTTAACCTCTGGAGTTTAACCTCAGGGCTGGATGCTTTAGTGCTTGACATTGTGGCATCTGTGATGGTTTTGGATTCAACCCTTATTAATTTAATTAAGTGACACCACACCCCTGAACCCTCCACCCTAAGTCCAATACCTTGCCATTAGTGACCTAGATCATGTCTTTTCTCTATCAGAAAGGGAGAGAAAGAACCTGCAGAGGAAAAAAGCTATGATGCTACTAAGAGTGGACAGCAAGAATGCCCTTTTGTTCCTTCTTTTCTCCTCCCTTTTCTTGCTGTTTTACTCCTGGTCTAGCTTTCTTCTGCTTCGAGCCACAGGGAAAGGTTAATAAGCAGGCTGCTGTGAGTCCTCTCTTGAATTCAGTGATAATCCAAAGGACTTATTCTCAGGTTATCTTTAACATTGGAGCTAACATAGGACTCCAGCAGCAGTCTGCTGCCAGGATGAACATACTGAGCTCCCAGGCTGCAAAAGCACAGCTGAAGAACACGTTCAGAGTGCACGATGTGCATTGCTGCCCCATACCCATCTGCCACATCTGTGGAATGGGGCACATTGCACTCCTCTGCTGCCTTTGAAGGACTGCTGTGCTTAGCAACAGCTCTGTTCTCACCCTGATCATGGTGTGATCAAACCCAAAGTGCCTGTAATTGGCTGGGATCTGTGGTGCAGTGAAAGACGCACTGCCCAGAGTAGAGGCTCTTGCTTGATTGAACTCAGACAGGCACTTTTTGCTGATGAGCAGGAAATGAGAAGGATGATGACACTTACTAGCAGATAGCAACCGCTGTGAAGCTGCAGAGGGAGGAGAATCCGTGGGAGTGGAAGGAAGCTCAGCTGTTAGTCAAACCAAACAAAAAGCAGATCTGGTTCATCCTGGTCGCTTGAAAGTGGATGTGTCATTACGTGCCATAAGAGCAACAGTTATCTTAGTATGTTGTAGTCCTTCCATTTTACTGTGTCTCTTTAAAACCAATGTTATTGCTAGTTGGGAATTGTTGGTCTCTTTCTGTGGAAGCAGAAAAAAACTTCAGCCCAAGCTGTCACACTGACTTTAGTAACCAGTAGCTGAGTTTCTGTAGCAAGGCCATTGTCCCCAAACTGTGTTTTATATCCTAAGGGGTGCCTCTGTCATGAATGTTCTGGGTGTGATGCAGCCATCTTCTGACAGAGGAGCAACCCGTATTTTATTTAGCACTTTGTCTCCAGCTTTACTCAGGGGCTCAGAAGTGACTTCTGCAGTGGCTGGGAGACAGCGGTATGTGGACACAAACATACCTTTGGATCTTGTGACTCTTGGTGCCATCTGGAACTTGTCTGCCCAGCACATCCAGTTCGTAGCAAAGCAGGGAGGACTGTATTTACCATCTTTGCCAGTGTGAATGGTAATCAGGATCTGGTGGCTTAACAATGTGAAAGGAAGGTTTTTCTGTAGATTAGAGGGATTTATCAGATGATAAAACTGGCTTTTCACATTGCTCCTTGTAGACCTGTTCTCACTATTTGGTAATGGAAGCAGCACAGATAGTGTTTATTCTTTTTCTTTGGCAAGTTGACAGCTCACCTTATATTCCAGGGAAGCTTACTGGAGTCCCTAATAGCCCATTGTCACAGATTGCTGTTTTTAAGGGCAAGTTTCAGTACCTGATATAGGTGCAGATAGCACAAGATAAACCTTTTCATAGGTTTTGATAGGAAAGAGCAGAGTTACTAAGGGGTGCTTTACTTGATATCCTCTGCATTGTTTCTAGATTGTCATTTGTCCTTTGGATAGCTTATTGTGGCCTCCAGTAAAACACTTACTGGCTTGTAAGTAACTGGCTGTTCAGAGGGAAAAAGCCTTAAGAGAAATGCTCTACTCCCATTGGAGTGGAAGGACTGCAATCCCTCAGACTCTTTCAGATCCAAGGAATGAATAACCACTGTATATACAGCTCTGCTGCTTAATCTCAAACTCTTTCAGGCCTAAATAAATGACATCTCCTTTTTATACTGAAGCTATTGTCCCCTCTTGCTTTGCTGTGCACCAGTTTGGCTATTTATACTCCCAATAATCATCTCATTGTCCTCATATCTAACTACTGGTCTAGGACCAGGAGCCCTCTGTGATACTACCTGAACCAACCCAAGGCAGTCCCTGCTCCAGAGGATAAATGCTCAAGTAGTTTGAGGGACAAAAGTCTCTTTTGAAAACCAGCTTTAGTTTCACAGGACACATGGCAAGAGATTTACTTAGCTCACAACTGCTGTTTAAAAGTTGGTGCTGATATTTTGGTGTTAAAGCAGTGAGCGTGTCTGTCAAATGTCAGCATTTGTATTTGGCAGCAGCTTCTTTTTTTCCCCCTCCTCCTGCTTCCCCAGTCTCATTTGGCTTCAAAGAATCCAGTAGGGGTTGCCTTTCATGTTTTGGTAACTTGAGGAGGACACCCTTTGTGCTTTAGAAGTAATTTATTGTAGAGCTGTCGACAGCAGTTAAAAGGGGAGAAGATGAGTGGGCTTTTCTGGGCTTTTAAAGGGAGAAGCAGCTGTTACATGTTTAATGCTAAAAGCACAGTGGCATCTGGGCAGATAGCAAAGGGCCAGCAATTACGGATCGGTTATAGGCAAGAGAAGTGTTTCATCTGAACTTGAGTGTAAGGAGTTATGAGCCAGCTTGGATCCTGTGGGAGCCGTTGTATGTGCGCTGTACAGTACAAACTGTGAGTCCTTGGGGACTTGACAGTGTCCAAGTGCAGAGTGTGGACCAGAGGGCTGGAGCATGATGTGACCCGGGCTATGAGGCTCTTGGTGTCCAGAGGCTGAGATGGATGGAAGGTGAGGAGAGCACAAGATAAAATATATTCCAAGAAAGAGATTACAGTATTGGCTCTGTTGATTTGTGGTAGCTCAGCACTCCCTCAGCTTCCAGTGCTCCAGCAGGCAGAGCAGGTCCTCATCAACCTCCTGCATCTTTTGGATGCTGAGTAATGGCGTGCAGAAAGATGGCAGGAGCTCAGTTAACCATCTGCCAGTTTCTGTGGAGCAGTGCAGAGATGCCTGAGCTGATTGCTTTCCCTCATGCTCTTCTCAGGGTGGACTTAAACTCTCACTGCAAATAATTTAGGCACAACTCCTGCTTGATCTCCCTTTTACCTCTTTGTTGAAGTAGAACACCCAAAGTTACCCTTACTATAGTTGCATTTGGAACAACTGAATAAATCCTTAAATGTGATGGTATCACTAGGGTGTGCACTGAGGCCCTAGGAGAGTTGTGAAAGAAGGCAGGCAGTGCAGAGAGAAAACAAGGAGGCACCCCAGCACTTACCCCCACTTTGCTTCCACAGGCTTGGCAAACATGAGCAGTCCCTTCTCCTTGCAGCCCACCTTCCCCAGGGTGCTGAGGGCTACAGGGTGAAATGAGGACAGAAGGCGGTGGCAGCTTCTAACAGGGACAAAGGAGGGGGTAAAAAAAAAAGACATCCAAACTGCTGAACTAGGTATTTTTTTGTGTCCAGGCAGTGGCATTCTTGGAACTGGATGAAATCTTCAGTGTGCTGTGTGGTTGCTGTAACAGCTGTTGTTATTTATGCTCTTTGTCCATCTCCAGATGCTGTTTCTGTCCCTTGTGGTTAAAATCTTAATGATTTCATACTTACTATTATGTTATGATCCCAGACTGCAAGCTACATGTTGGATCTTTCTCTTCGCTTCCCCAGCTCGTGGCCAGTTAAAATGTCAGAGATGGTTTTCTTTTTGTCTTGTCTATTTGTGAGAGTGAAACCCTTTGCTTGTCTCAGTTGTGTGTGTGTTTCTATTCATAGATTGACAGTGGAGTGTGAGTGACAGTGAACTCCCTTGGAGCCAGCTCCCTTTCTGGGTTGTTCACTGCATAGCTTTCTGCCTGTGAGAGGGCCCTGCTTTCCTGGCATCCGAAAGACCTGAGGGCAGTCCTGTGGACAGACCCGCTTCCCACTGTCCGTCCATCGTGGTGTCACATCATGTGTGACTCAGCTCTGGTATATAGTTACCACTTGCACTCTAAAAACTGTCAATTTACTGTCATACTACAAAACATGAGTCTCTAGTGAAGTTTTTGGGGCTGATATTGTAATGCCAAGTTGCAGCTGGTAAAGCACAGGGCAGCAATGGCTGCCAGCCCTCTCCCATCCAAATGCTGAAGAGCAGCAAACACCAGGACCCAGGGTGTTGTATCAGCCCCGTTGTTCACAAGTGGTGCCTGGTAGTGGTATTCTCTCCCCGGGATTCTCTCAGTGATCTCTGGCTCTGACTTTACCATAGTCCCTTGACTGGTAAGAATTTGTCCAGGGTCATCTTAGAGACCTAAGGACTGATGGGGATGAGTCATTTAGAGCACCTCACAGTACTGGGCGTTTTCACCATCAGTCAAAGCGAGATATGGAGGCTTTAGGGCAGGTTTGTGGCTTTCTTGTTTCTGTTTGGTTTGGGGTGGGTTTTTTTGGGTTTTTTTGTTTGTTTTTTGAAAAAGCATTCTGAGCAGAGGAAAGGTGTTTGTGACTTCCAAGTAGGTTTAGGCCTGAAAGAAGCATGGAAGTTCTGGGTATGTACAGCAGCTGTAGGGAAAAACAGATTTTGGACAGCTGAGTCCCTTGACCAAAAACTGTGAGGCAAGGAGTTAAGGCTAAGTTGCATTGAACTTAGTCACTTTAGGTGCTACAAATAAATAAATAAAATAATCCTTGCATATGGTGAATTATTACCACTAAATCAGCTATAAAGTCTTTTAATTTAACCTGGCCTCTTGTGACATGTCCATTACAACTTACATTTTTTTATCAATATCTGAAATGCCCTTATGCTCGCTTGTGCTCTTCCAGACATGGGGGCTGTTGAAAGCCAGCACAGTTCCCTTCCCCTGCCACAACTCACATGCTGACATGTGCATTAAGTTCAGTTTGTCACTCGACTCCAAAAAGCCAGGAAACAGCAGCAGCCCCATTACACAGCTGGCCTTGTCCAGGTTTCACAGGGGTGAGCACATCATGCCTGTGCCTCACAGCCGTGTTGGTTCCTTGTAGCCTCTTCCCTGCTGGTGGGAGAGGACATGTCCGACCTTCCTTCCCAAAATGCCATCAGAAAATGCCTTGATGTGGAGGTGTGGAAGCATCAAATGCACCTCTCATCGATGGTCACCCTGGGGAGTGCGGGCAGTGTGGGAACACTGTTAGTCTCTTTCATCTGTGCAGATCTTCAGTCCTTGCCTGCAATGCAGCTTTTAACCGTATTTATTTTGCAGCTTCTGTTGGTGTCAGATGGATGATCGGGGTTACAGAAATTAACAAGGGCTCCACCTATGGCAACAATGAAAACAAGCAGAAATGAAAGTAGCATCTTCAGAGACTGCTTCAATCCAAAGGGAACAAATGCAACTGCTGAAAACTCTTAAGTGCATATTCAAGTGAGATCAGAGGAGAGGTAGGATGAGCAATTGCCATGCATATCCGAATTTGTGCTCCTGTTGTTTTTCTCTGGGAGTCTGGGCTGATGACACGCTTGAAAGATGCACTCCTTCGTATCCTCTCCGCAACAGGTTTGCATTTGTGTGATTGGTTTGTTTTCCTATGAAGTGTCTTAAGTTTTGAAGAAAAAAATATAAATTCCAGTGAGCTTATATGAAGAGACTGGAAACTAACCAGAGGTGCAGGCTTTAATGTCAGGAGATTGTTACAAGATGATTAAAATTGATAGTTGTGTAGATCACACAGTTTAACAACCATAATCTGTCAGTGTTTAAATACAGTACAGTAAGATGCTGTGCTTGGATATACCAGTATTGGACTGAAGCAGCTCTACTGAACTGGTAGAACTGCAGTAGAGTTTTTGTACATCTAGAACTTACCGCCACAGCGTGACTATGGGGCCCTTTAAAACTTCAGCCAGGCCCTGGACATGCAGACATCAGAGCCTTCAGTAGCATAACCTGGAGCAAAATTGGGCCTTCTGGCCTGAGCAGAGCTAAGGTAGCCACTGCCATCTCTTTCCTGAGGCCGTACATCTGAGGGATAGCTGAAACCCGTGATTCTTCTGAGAGTAAATTCAATTTATGGTTTGGAAAAACTGACATAATAAAATTTCTTTTGGCTTTAAACACTACTTAAGATTCTAAGCCTTCCTAGCAGTGGTGGGAAGAAAATAACTGGGCATGGTGTAGTGAAATAATGCAAAGTGTGCATTAAAATGTATGCCCCACACCCATACTGTAGTGATCCTAATTAATCTGCGTGTCTGTCTTTTCTGATAAATTAGTTTACTTGGTGCCTCATAACAGCCTGTGGTAATAGTTAAATTATCTTTTCTTTTGGGGAGAAGAGGGGAACTGGGACAAAGACCTAGGACAGCAATATCATTCAGGTTTTTTTTATATCTGTCTGAACTTGATTTGACCCCCTTCTGAATTAAATAAAACTAGAATCCTCAGGAAAACACCGTTGCTCTGACTTTCCTGATCCTGATTTCAGGGCAGAGGCCTCCTGTTTTTAAACTTCCAGAGTTAAGAATCTGCAGATAACTAAAAAGAACTTAATAGAATCACAGAAAACAAGAAAAAAAAACCCACAAAAACCCCCAAGGAAAAGAGGGGATTTCTAAATACCAGCAATTATGATTGGAAAAAAGCCACAGTCTTAAAATCTACAGCTCCTGATACTTTGGAGTGGAGATTATGACTGGCACTTTCAAAGACAGTCCATTTCCACTGCGCCTAGAACTAAACAGGGATAGTCTCTAGTAAAAAAAGTGAGCAGTCTTAGTTCTGCCAGCTGGTATGAAAACATTTTTCTTTTCCTATAATAAAACTGAGGCCAGAAGAAACAGGGGCTAATACAACAGAATATGAATCATTCTGTGAAACATGTGTGAGCTGTTCAGTACATCAGATAATAGAGAAACTCACCTTTTTATTGCGCAGCACCTAAAGAGCAGGTGGAGTAGTGCTTCTAGCATGGGGCAGTTAAGTGAAATTTACTGGTAGAGGAGGCAGGAAAATTTACAACATTAAGGAAGGAACAGGTTATGGGACTAGTTTTTGGGGCTTTTTTCCTCACACACCTTTTGTACACATGCATTCCCTATGCTCTGAAGCTTTCTGGAATAGGCTGTATGCTGCAATGAACACAAACTTGTGCTCTACTGTAGTTTTTGTAAGACATGAAAAAGAGCCCAAGAGCAGAAACTACTGCCATGCTTACAATGCTGTTCTTTTAATAAAGGACATGCCCTGCACTCTTTGCTGTAACAATCTTAACAGTGAAAAACAGCATAAGCTGTAGTCTGGAGCTATCTTGTAGTAATGAGGAGGCACATTAGTGAGCCAAACCTGAAGATACTGTTCACAAGAGTTTGAAAATAGGTGGAAGGGAGAGAATTTTACTGTGCATATTATTTGGCAGATACAGTGGGCCTTCCTCAGGGTGGTAGGTGAGTAGTTCTGAGCAGCAAATACATATTCATGTAATGACAGAGACCAGCTCTTTCACCTTTTTTAAAGGGTTACTGATTGAACATGTGGTGGGGAAGACATTTAATGTTCCTTAAGAATCTCAGCCCTTTCCTCTCCAATTGCATCTCCCAGAGGAAAATACCAAACGTGTAAATACTTCTGAAAGAGAACTTAGATTATTTCAAACCCCTTTCCCTAGGACCAACCCTTAGAACAGTCCTAAGTACTTCTACAACTCTCAGCACACAGTAACTGCACCACTGGGCCCTTCCAGCACTCACTGACAAACAGCGAAAGCTTAATGGTACTTGCCAAAGTTAACCTATTCCAGTTCACTGTATTAAAAGAATGACAGAGGTCATTAGGAAGCAGTGTTTGCCCCTCATCCCCACAAGCAACTGTATGTTCTACAACTGCCTTAACAAAAGTAGTCTTAATGTTTGTTTATACAAAAATAAAAGTATGAAAAGCCGATATGCAATGAATGAGTTTTCTTTTGCTTGGCAACAACAACCTAGTAAGTGTTTGTGTTTTTCACCCCTATCCTGACTACTAAAAGCTGTCCACAGTTCCTGTTTGTGCAGAAAGGCATGTGGAACAAGGCAAGTGAGGACACAGATCACTCACATACTTTTGTTACACTGCAAAGAGAAGCACACAACAGGCCATGGGGCACTTCTACCTCGGCTACTTTCATAGTCCTTTGCTGAGGATGACAACGTAATTCCCCTCCTACCACATAACTGAAAATAAGGAGCTGAAAAGAAGGGGCAGTCTTTGTTTAAATTCAACATTGTATTTTTTGAGAGCCTAAATACACTGCACAGGTGACATGCACAGCAAGGCTCATATACTTTTCTGGATAAAAATGTCAGGTTTTGTGATACATCCTCAACAGCTCACCCCACACCTGGGGCTAAGCAAGAACTTGTGAATTAGGAGAAGAGACAAGACACTAGAATGAAACCAAATACTAAAAAGCAAGTTATTTTAAGTCTAAAGCTGTAACAGGAATATGCAAACTTGCACTAAGTACTTTTACAAGTAAAACTTACCTGTTTGTGATAAGCAAGTCAAACAATCAGCTAGATCACGTGTTGCAGGCTGTTTCTTCCAGTTGCTCACCACTTCTAACCTTGCCTTTATCTGAGACTGATGACAACTGGGGTGAGGCAGGGAAATCAAAGCCCAGGATCAGAAATCAGTTTTACAAAGCTAACTGAGTTCTTGGTTTTGCCAAACAGAACACAAAAATAATCTTAAACAGTTCTCCTCTAGACCACAGAAATGCCACGCAGAGCACTCCCTGTTCACATGGCACACATTCAAGAAGGAAGTCATCCTTGAGATAGTAAGTAGTGTCAGGAACTGCCCATCACCACCTTTCCTCAGAAGCAGATGAAAGGGGGAAAAGGTCCTTAAATCTGTTATCACTTGTGTAAGAAGCATCTTGCCCTGTATGTCTTGAAACCTGACAAAACATTGACTATTGCAGTATAAGAGCAGCTTATTCCAATTAGATTAGCTCAGCAGTCTTACACAAGTGTTGCAAAAAAGTTTAAAATGTGACACAACCCTCTTTTTCGAAGAAAAACCCTTTACCAACATCTCCTAAAATAAACCATTTATTGAGAAAAAACTTTTCTTTAAAATTTCATTAATTAGCCTTGTGCATAACAAATCTGAAGCTTGCCAAAAACAAATAAACAAAAAACCCAGTAAAAGTTCACAGTCAGTGCACTCAAACAGATTAAAAAAACAAGGTCCATAACGCCTGATAACACTACAGCATTTTTCTGAACCTAAAGAGTTCAAAAATACTACATATTAACATTACAGTTCTCAATCAAATGAGAAACGGGAGAAAGAACAAAAAAGGTATGGTCCATATACAGTAGTAATGGCACTTTCACTGAAACATGCAGCTTCTTCCAACTTGGGGACACCGTCACATGTGAGCAACATGTGCCAAGTAAAATGTACAGGAGCAGCAGAGGAAGTGACGCCCGTCACTTGTGCAGTCTTCGTTAAGTTCAACTTTTACACTGTTTCTCAGCACAGTCTTTATGTAAATATTACATACAGTAGTGATTAAAATCTTGTCAGAACAAAAAAGGCCAGAGATTGAGTAACTTCATTCTTCGTCTGTGCAAACCTGTGAAGGAAGCAAAAGGCAGTTACTTCAGTCATCTCCCCACTGCAGCAAGAAGATGACAACAGATCCATTTCTTTAGCACCTTCAAACATCTTCAAAGCTTCTTCCTTCTCCGTTGTTACACAGATAATGCATAGCAAGTATTTATATGCAAGTGTACTGCCATTCCCACTGTCACCATGTAACCCTTAGGAGCCTAAAGCCCTGTTTCGCCTCTGTGATGGAGGGGATCTGGCTACAGTTGCACTGATGGGCATGATGATCTCAAAACACACTGAACCAGAACACCAAACTGAACACCTTTGTGCTGGAAAATGAGACAGAATTCAATAATGTATGTACTTCTTCAAAGAAGTTACTAATACACCTCAATTTGTAGCTGTGAATATTTGTCTGTTCTTAAGGAAAGACACACCATAGTTCATTCAAGAACTGCAGACTGTTACACTAACTGCCAGATGATAAACCTTCAATATGAACTTAACTTCAAATAGAAACTTCTTCAAAGGAGACTCTTACACAGAACGATGGTAGAGTTCTCTACCATGTGCTGGTTTCACTTTTTATGGAGGAGGCCCTTATCTCTAGAAACCTGTACATATGTGCTTGCTAAAGTTTTCAGCAGAGAGCCCTTCAGATCCAATGAGCTACCATGGAGTTGAAGCCTGACTTATCTTTGTAACATAAAGATAATACATATCAAAACAGCTGTGGAACTTCATTGAATGGTGAACACCAGGTCCTATAGTGAAATCTTCGCTAAAAACATCACATGTTTTAGCTTCTGGAAAGTTTCCACACCGTGTTTTCTGGACAGCATCACCTTGATACCAGCCCCTCACTGTGATACCAAGCCCTGTGGCATCCCTGCAAACAGTGAAGCCGACTGAAAGCTGCTTCCGCATTCCCATCTGCAGTTTTTGTAGCCAAAGTCATCAGACAAACCTTGACAAAAGGATGATCGAGGAGCTGGCTGGCCGTCCACCTCATCTTTGGGTCACTTTCCAGGCAGTGGCAAAGGAAGTCTTTCCCTTCTGGGCTCACTTTGTCAGGAATAGGAGGCTTATGACCCATCCCCACTTTATACATGATCTGGAAGTTGTGCTCATATTCATGCCAAGGCCTCTGCAACAGGTAACAGCATTGCTAAGTGCAAGCTTTAGTGATTAACTTGCTATCCACTAGAGCATGTACTTCCATACTCCAGGAAACAAAAAACCGCCCCAGTACCTGCAGACTTACATATGACAAACTGCTGAGAGTGGGACCAGAATTTGCAAAGAAACTGCTAAGAACAGTTTGCATTTTATCAGCACATGAAACATCCCTACCTTGCCAGTGACCATCTCGATAACAACACAGCCCAGGCTCCAGATGTCTGCTGCACGTCCATGTCCCTCTCCTTTAGCTCTGGTAATCACTTCTGGAGCCATGTACGCTTTGAAACAACATATATGATGCCATCAGTTGATACAGCGGAAGGAACAGCATATATCATGTGACTAACTGGGTAAACCAAATGCTTTTTAATACAGCTGTAATGAATTACTACTCAGTTTTTCTTGCCAAGTTTTGCCATTTGCTAGCTTCTTGTTCTTTGACATGTTTGCAGCATAACTGCCTTTCAGTTTGAAAAGTGACAGTGAAAATGCTGCTACATTACCTGCTTTCAGTTATTGCCATTTTTTGAAAACAGATTGAGCAGCTCTTCAGAAAGTACAGTTTCAGTAAGACTGCAGAGAAAGATACAACCCCAAAAAACAAAAGCTCCAGAATCTTTAGATTACTAGATAAATTCAGTGAGTGGATAAGATGACAGATAACACTGTTTGTTTGGCTTCTGGATATAAAGCACAACTAGCTAAAATAACATCAAGTCTCCTTGAAGCACATGGTTTCACTCCAGCCCAGATATAGACATATATAAATAGCCAAGTACCTGCACAGCACAAGCTTCCTTACCTGCAGTCCCCAAGGTACTGTTCACTTCTCCAGGCATTGTCTGGGTATTGTTCTTCAGCTTCACTGAGCAGCCAAAGTCTCCTAGTTTAATCAGTCCAGATGAGGTAAGAAAGATGTTGGCTCCTAGGAAACACAAGGAAACACAATAACACTTGTTTAAACCAGAGCCGAAT